TGATGTCACAGTGATATCAACCTGGGACGCTAGGTTGACGTACCTGCAATGTTGGTTCGAACTTTTGCACAAGCTGTTCTATTACCTTGTTTTTGAGTCCTTTGGCAAGAATCGATTGACCGAATTTCACCGTTTGCAACCGTGCCCCATCGAAGGTGACTTAGGAAATCAGGCGACGGCAAGTTCTACTCTCATCATCATCAAATCAACCTAAGCTGTGTGTGTGTGTCAAGCTCTGTACCGAAGAGTTCCTCACTTTTTTGCGGCTGATTTCAACCAACTAGTTTTTTAACTGCTTTCTTCCATAAATTATGGATACCATTGCACCTTAATTCACAGCAGGGGGCACAAGGACCTTTGGTGAGTCTTGTGCCAATGAAGACGCTCACCTTAGGTTGTGAAAACGTACCTGCATGATGCACCTGGATGACATACCCAATATGTTGGGGTCATAGCTGGTGGTCATATTCGTATCTGTTAGTACTTTATGGGATCAGGCTAACCCAAGAACCTGCATGCCGTCATTCAGTCATTTCATGATCACTTTTGATTGAGCCGTATTGGTTTCTCTTTTAAACAACCTGACATTCAAATGTCAACGGATAAGCTTGGCCTTTTTTAACTCGGTATGGCCGAGTGATGCCTTCAATCTACCATGAGGTAATCAGACTTTGCATTCATGAAAAGAGACCGTCTTTCATGACTTCGCAAGTGTGTATTTCGGCCGTGGGATCTGTCAAAGTCCGGTCGTGATCCTGGAATTCCAGGCGTCGTATCTCCCCTGGGAGTGCGAGAATCCACAAGTGAATTTGACTCTTGAATTCAGCCACGGTGGCTCATTGCAATGATTGAACGTGTGTCTCTGACACAAAGCGTGCATTTGAGAGAATAGATCCCGGTATGCTATCCGGCAAAAATAGCTTGAATCCACTGAGTTTGAACTTGAATTTGACTTTTGACAATTTTGGCGACTGATAGTCACCAATAAGATGAATTTTCTGAATTCCACACTTGAAGCCTCAGCATTGAATTCCAAATGGATGAATTGTGTTTGTACACATGAATACCTTTTGGTGTACAGTTGAGCAAGCAACAATACGTTATCATTTGTTAGTTGTCTAACTGATCAATCCTTGTACAGTTAGCAAGTTGTCATATTAGACAACACATTTTCCATTTTCCTTTCTCTAGATTTCTGAGCCATGTCGACTCCGGTGTATAATGTTTATTTTGTGGCCGGCAACGTGGACCCGACTCCACCTCGGCCACCCAAGGCACCGGCGAAGCCAGCAGTAAGACTGGCATTGACACCACATGCTCCTCCAGCAACTCCGGTAGTAGCCCCAGCCGCAATTCCAGGAACGATCTCCGTACCTCGTCGACCGTCAGCAGTCCAACCTCAGGTGCCGGTTGGAACAGATGATGACAAACAGGAAAGACGCACAACATCAAGTTGCTCCAGATCCAGAACAAGACGTCGTCATCGAGCATCCCATCACCGTCACCATCATCGTGATCACCATTCTCTGAGGTCCACTTCGAGATCTGAAAGAGGTAGGTCAGTTAGAACGGCTCTTTCTTCTTTCTCTCAAGCTCTCCGTCCTCCACCAGGTCAATGGGACATTCATACTGGTCTTTGGGACCCGTATGTTGGAAACATTCCTCCCAGAGCGCATGTTCTTCCTCCCAGAGTTCCTGCTCCTCCTCCCTTGAGACCGTTTTCAGCCTTCCCTCTAGTGGAGGTCGACCCACGTGTACAGTGGACTCACTTTTTCACAGCACTTGGTGTTGTATGGCGCCAAATCAGGGGCGCTGGAATAGGAAGTCAGATTTCTCCAACACTTTCGAACTTGGCCGTGACGCTTATCGAGAGACCGTGGAGCAGTACCTATCAAGAAGTTCTGACTCGACCAAATTTTCATCATCTTGCAATCAGGTACGTCGACAGCCGTTTTGTCATTGTACAGAAGCACCATCTTCAGGCTCCAGTGTTCAAAGTGTTTACAGACTTGGACTTTTATGGTAGTCCAGTCGAACTGGAGCTGGTTGCCGACAATTTTACTTCTCGGCTTTTATGTGGATGTTTCTGAAAGAACAATCATTTCAGCCGGAACCCTCCGATTGCGTTTGAGCGGACTGAAGAGTCGAGCTCATTTAATTCGTGAATATTCATTTCCGTCCTGTCAAGCACAGAGTTCGTTGCACGCACTATCTCGGTTATATGTACAGAAAGGCTTCGCTTTGTCAGATATTCACAGCGCGTTGTGGCCGACAAATACCAGCGGCGATAGGCCTTTGTGTGTAGGGTCAACCCCTGTTTCCAAGGGATTTGCGATTTTTCTGTTTTTCAGTTTTTCAATTTTTCAGTTTTAAGGCAGGGGGTCGACCCACGTGTACAGCGGACTCACTTTTTCACAGCACTTGGTGTTGTATGGCGCCAAATCAGGGGCGCTGCAATAGGAAGTCAGATTTCTCCGACACTTTCGAACTTGGCCGTGAC